TCTCTGCAACTAAGGCTAAAATGGACAAGGGTAGGGGAAAGGAGACGATCCAGAAACAACAAAACTGAGCCAGTACATTATAATCCTAATGAGTCACTCCCTTTACATAAAAACAGTCACCAACACCACAGACAAACAACGCAAGCCTGCTGTGGAATCACCCAGAAGAAAATCAGGAGGGCTTCACCGAACAGCCGTTACGGAAGGATGAAGGGCCCGGAGTCTGGGCCAGCTCATCCACTGGACTAATATTTTGTGCCTAATGGCTACCCTGCAGCTCATGCCAAAAGGGACTGCCTGCCAGGCATTCCCTGACGCTCTCCGGGGAGGTGAGAGGCCAAGCGATGGCTGCTAGGCAACCCAATGCCTCCACTGCTCAGTCGAGTTTTCCACGCCATTCTGGTACCATCCTGCTTCGGCATACTCTGTCTTTCACACGTTCTCTTGAGCCATTCGTTTTTGTGTCGCATTCTCCCGTTTTATTTCGTTTTTTTTAGCGACCACTTTGTACCCCAGTTTTACTCTAGCAATAACTTCTGAGTAGCGTTTGTAAGGTTACTACCCGTGTATTTGTTGGTTTCTCCTGCTTCCCACCCACTTCCTCCTGACTGGAACATGACTCTGGGACAGCCCCACCCTATGCTCTCTTTTCCTCGCTTTGATGACAAGGATTTTTCTTTAGCATTTATTTAAAGCATTTATAGGCCACCTTTCAACAATAAGGTTCTTCCTACTACAAATCACTATAAGAAGAAGAGAAGCTTGGGTTTATACCCTGCCCTTCACTCGGCATCTCAGAGCGGCTTATAAACTCCTTTCCCTTCCCCTCCCCACAACAGACACCCTGTGAGGTAGGTGGGGCTGAGAGAGCTCTGACAGAAACTGCTCTTTTTTCAAGAACAGCTGTGCCAGAACTTTGGCTTGCCCAAGGTCATCCAGGCAAGTGCAAGTGGAGGAGTGGGGAATCAAACCCGGTTCTCCCAGATTAATCAAACTGGCTCTCAGCTGGAGGCTAAAAAACTGAGCTAGCTGAAGAAGAAGAGCTTGGATTTATACCCCACTGTCACTTGGAGTCTCAGAGCGGCTTACAAACTCCTTTCCCTTCCCCTCCCCACAACAGACACCCCTGTGAGGTAGGTGGGGCTGAGAGAGCCCTTTCAAGAACTGCCCTTGAGAGATCACCTCTGACAGAACTATGGCTTGCCCAAGGTCATCCAGCAGCTGCAAGTGGAGGAGTGGGGAATCAAACCCGGTTCTCCCAGATTAGAGCCACTACACCAAACTTGATATCCCTTTACATTTATTTTTTTCATGATAATTTGATTTTGTAGGGGTTTGAGGGGCATTTGTTATCATTTTTTATTCTGGTCAGGACTAAGTCTGGCTGCCAGCCCCCAGGTAGGGCCTGGAGATCTCCTGGAATTACAACTGACCTCCAGACTAGAGAGATCAGTTCCCCCAGCTGAAAATGGCTGCATGAAAGGGTGGACTCTGTGGCATCGTACCCTCTGAGGCCCCTTTCCAGCCTCCACCCAAAATCCCCTAGAATTTCCAGACTCAGAGTTGGCAGCTCTCGTGGGGACTGCTGAAGAGGAGCACTGCCAGCCTGCATCGTTTTCAGCCAGCTAGAGACATTGAATACCAGACGCTCAAAAACAATTGAATAGATGGGTGAGCAATTGACTCCTCTACATTTGCCTGTTGTTTGCAGACAGGAGGGGGGAATTTCAAACACCGTTTCTTAGCAATATTTACGGATGGTAATAACAATAGCAATAATAACGCATTATAAAGAACATCAATAAAACAGTTAATTAACCATGAAAGGAGGATTAATAACAACAACAACCACTGGTGTTCCAAAACAGGCATACTCATGATCCGTGAGCTAATCACATCATACAGAATTATGGTGGTTAGTGAAATACTTAAAATAATCTAGATCTCACTACTTATTAAATCGGGACGGAGCTAGTTTCAGAGGGTAGCCATGTTGGTCTGCCGCAGCACAGCTAGATTCAGGTCCAGTAGCACCTTAGAGTTCAACAAGAATGTTGGGATATATGTTTTCGGGCATTAAAGCTCCCTTTATCAGGATGGAGCAGTCGTTCAGAGGCCTTTTGTGGATTTGCTGCTTAGATCTTCCAATGAATTTAAGAAGGGCAGCCATCTGTTTGTGAGATGAGTTGTGTACAACTCACAATACAAGAACTCGTGGGCACTCCATGAAATTGCTGAGCGGTCGGGTTAGAACAGATAAAAGGAAGTACGTCTTCACCCAAAGAGTGATTAACACATGGAATTCACTGCCACAGGAGGTGGCGGCGGCTACAAGCATGGACAGCTTCAAGAGGGAATTGGATAAATATATGGAGCAGAGGTCCATCAGTGGCTATTAGCCACAAGGTATAGATAGGGACTCTCAGTCTGGGGCAAGAGATGCTCTGTATTCTTGGTGCTTGGGGGGAGGGAGGCAACAGTGGGAGGGCTTCTAGTGTCCTGGCCCCACTGGTCGGCCTTCTGATGGCACCTGGTATTTTTGGCCACTGTGTGACAGAGTGTTGGACTGGATGGGCCATTGGCCTGATCCAACATAGGCTTCTCTTATGTTCTTACAATGGGTTGTCGATAGTTGTGAGCTGGGAGGTGGTTCTGTCCAAGATCAAAACATCCCAGATCTTACGGTACCATTTTTCATCAAAGGTATTTTTACATTTTCCCAAAATGCTGCAACCAAGAATTTAGCAACCACCAAGAGCAATGAACTCCAGTCTTATTTGGGGGTATTATTTAATGATCAGACATTTCCATTAAAACTGTGGACATTTTACTGGGATCTTATATCTTGCAGTGTTCTGTACTTTCTCCAGAATTGTAAAATATTGGAGCACTGCCACCAACAATGTAAAAAGGAACCAATACCATCCCAGCCTTTCCAACACAAGTTAAGGTACTGGGGCTGCATGTAATGCCATTTCAGAGGTGTCAGAGACCATCTTGTATGACCGTTCTTTAATGTTCTTGCTCATTCTTGCTCACTAAGAGAGATGTTAATCTCTTTTTCCTATTTCAAAGTACATGTTGGACATTTATTTCAAACTATGTCTCCCATATTTTTATACAGCAGGGAAATGGTACCTTTAATATTTAGTTGCCTACCAGAAATCAATTTTTAAAGAAAGTTAATGGCCATGAGATTTTTTATTTTTTTTGGTATATTCAGAGTTTGAAACTAATGTTGCATCGAGCCTCCATAGCTCCTTTTACTGGACTGGAGAAAAACCCGGACATTTCAGAAGATAAGCCTCGAGAAGGAGGCGTATCCTCTGAAAAAGAGGAAAGAGAAGACAGGCCTGCCCCCCACACTCAGGATATATGGCCATCCTAACTACTTCTTGTGGAGTATTTAACATCCCCAAAATCTGCAGAATTGGGGCTCCCCCCTGGTCCACAGTTCTCTGGTCTTTAAAGCTCCATCCTCTGCACTCAGAGTCCAGGGTGGCCAGGTCCCCCCTGGCCACCGGTGGGGAATGGGGGAGTAGGGTTGCCAGCTCCAGGTTGGGGAACTCTTGACAATTTGGGGATTTGGCCTGGGGTACAGTGCCATAGAGTCTCCCGTCCAAAGCATCCATTTCCTCTCAAGGAACTGATCTCTGTAGTCTCAAGATGAGCAGCAATTCCAGGAAACCCCAGGTCCCACCTGGGGGCTATAGTTTCTAAAAAGGTAAAGGTAAAGGTTCCCTTGCTCGAAAGCCAGTCGAATCCGACTCTAGGGTTGCGGTGCTCATCTCCGTTTCAAAGCCGAAGAACCAGCGCTGTCCGAAGACGTTTCCGTGGTCATGTGGCCGGCATGACTAAACACCAAGGCGCACGGAACGCTGTTACCTTCCCACCGAAGTGGTCCCTATTTATCTACTTGCAATTTCTTGCTTTCGAACTGCTAGGTTGGCAGGAGCTGGAACTAGAGACAGGAGCTCACCCTGTCTTGCGGCACCCGGGTCTTGAACCGCTGATCTAAATTAGATCTTCCCCAAACCTTCATTCCCCACAGGCCACTCATCCTTCCAGCTCTTCCACAGAGCCAGTTTGGTGTAGTGGTTAAGTGCGCCGACTCTAATCTGGGAGAGCCGGTTTTGATTCCCCACTCCTCCACTTGCAGCTGCTGGATGACCTTGGGCAAGCCATAGTTCTTTCAGAGGTGTTCCTTAAAAGAGAACATTTTCTGTCTGAGCTCTCTCAGCCCCACCTACCTCACAGGGTGTGTGTTGTGGGGAGGGGAAGGGAAAGGAATTTGTAAGCCACTCTGAGACTCTGAGTGAAGGGCAGGGTGTAAATCCAATCTCCTCCTCCTCGCTTCTTAAAAGTCAGAGGAGCCTAACCAGTAAAAAGGATGCAACCCTAAACGTCACATGCTGAAGCTGCAATCCTGCACTCCATTACATGTGCCTCAGTCCAACTGATTGCAGAGAGACCCAGGAGCATAGAAGCCCATCAGCCGCATGCCCCAAGTGAGGGCCAACAAATTCCTAAGGGAAAGCAGCAGAGCTTTTGATAGGAAACTATTGAACTCACTGACTCATTCAGTCTTGTGTATGAACAAAGGCCTTCTGGTCAGGAAAATGAAGGGCAAGGCAGGAGACGAGAATTTAAGGCTCCCTTCCTGACCTCAGGGGGCCCCCTGATTCTTTGCTCCAGAGTCTATCGGCAGTATCATGTGAGGTTTCACAAACCAATTTATTAATGCATGCAAAGTGTTATCAGAGCACAGATGGGTGCAGAGGGAAAGGAAGGACAGGATTCCAGAGAATTTCTCAGTCTATTACGGGAAGCTTTCTATGGGTCACAAGCTTATAGTGAAGGGGGGGGAACCTTTCTCCCAGAGGGTGAATAATTTAATTTTTTTTAACTCTATTTCCAAAGAAAACACAAGGTGAAACTCAAAACCACGCATGCAGCTGGGTTGTGAAGACAAATGTTGTGAAAGCGGTTCTTTACAATACCTAAAAATAGCTTGGTGTTTCTCCTTTTTGGTAAAGCTCCACCAGATGCCCCTGTTACCTTCTGAAAAGAAAGAAAAAGGACAGAGGGAGGGGAGGGAAAGAAGAAGAAAAGGTTAAAAATCTAGCTAGTGTCACTGCATGATTTAAAAAATCACTTGTGTGTGAGGAAGTGACCCTCAGAAAAATTCAGGATTAGCATAAAGGTAGCCTACGGCCAGGTACTCCGGTATAAAGTTGCTGCTCTTACCCTGTGGATGATGCCAGTGCAGGATTGAATCCTGCCTCGTCATGTAATCTGCCTCAGAAGGTTGTTATAAAAGCAAAAGTGTAATGAGCAGTAACAATAACGTTATTGTTGGTGCCCTTGAACAAAGTTTGAGTCCAGTGGCACCTTCAAGACCAACATGGTCTTGGGTATAAGCTTGCGTGGGCACGTGCATAAAAGCTTATATCAGGAATAAAACTCCACTGACCTTGAAGGTGCCACTGGACTCAAACTTTCCTCTGTTGCTTCAGACCAACATGGCTACCCACCTGAACCTGTATTAATGCCCTTGGCAGTATAACCAGAGACCTTTTCTTGGATATCGAAACGTAAAGGAGAACAAAGCCTTAACTATAGGGTAGCAGGAAGGATTTCAGAAAACACCAACTTTGTATGACAAGCTGCACCCATCAAAATTCTCTCCCCTCCCTAAGTATTAAAAGGTACATCAGTCCTTGCCTCATTTCCCTCTTGGTCACCAAGAGGTGCCCCAGGACATACCTGAAAAGGCTGGGCACAGTCTGTATCGGTTCACAAATACAGTCATTAATCAGAGCTCCACACTTTTATTCTGGGGGAGCCGCAGAGCACACCTATAGCCACAGACTGAACTGGTCTAAGTCAAATTTATCCTCTCCACAGGGAATCGTGGTCAGCCCTGTTCTGTGAAGAAAGCTACAGATCTTGGACAGAGAATGTGTATCACCATCGCCAGAACTACAGATCCTAGGATGCTTAGGGAGAAGCCATGACAGGTGAACACAGCTGTCAGCTGGTGCAAGCCAGTACAAGGTACAGGTAAGAAAGCAACTGAAGCGATAACTCCCATCTTCTGCTTTGAGTCCCCTCCCATGTAGAAAGACGGTGCCAATTTGAAATTTATCAAGGTGGCTAATAAATGTTTTAAATAAAGAAAAAAATAATCTTATTTTGTAATCCATTTACAGACTGATGGAAAAAAATTTATCATCATACGTGTAATCCGCCTTGGGTCCCAGATCAGGGTTCCCTCTAAGCTGAGTTAGTGTGAGCTAGCTCACACTAACTCAGCTTAGAGGGAACAAGTGGTAAAAGAAGACTCCACAGCTTAGAGGGAACATCCCAGTGGGAAAACCAGAGTGATGATAATAATGACGATACCCTGTCTTCATGGGGCTCAGAGCAGCAAAACATGGCTAACCCTTATTTTAAGCTCACAACAATCCTTTGAGGTAGGATAAGCTAAGAGAAAGTTACAGGCCCAAGGGCACCCAGTAGGGTTCATGGCAGAGGGGGAGGATTTGAACCCAGATCAAGATCTTCGTCAACATAATAACCACTACACCACGGAAGCTCTCCTTGCGAAAGGAAAAGTAGCATGGGCAGGGAAGCATTAAACCCTCCCCTCCTCACTCAGCATCACTTCTATAACAGTAAAACAATATAATATTCACACAGCACTTCCAAGCATTTGAAGCTCTTACTATACATTTATCTTGTAATCCTTGAGAAAGTCAAAAGGGGGGAAAACTCAGTTTGAAAATCGAGTCAGGAACCAAAAAGTTGAGCAACCAGAAAATAAAACAAAATACACCTATTTGTTGCACAGTGCAATGTGGCAGTGGAAAGGAGAATGGCAGTGGAAGGAGAAGAGGAAGTGCAGCAGCAATAGGAGGGAGGAGAAGGAGGAGGAAGCAGCAGGAGCAATGGGAGATGGAACAAAGGGAGGAGGAGCCAGCGGCAGGAGCCAGGAAGGAGGAAGAAGCAGCAAGGACAAGAGGAGGCAGGGATGGGAGAAAGCAGTCGCAAGAGGAGGAAGAGACGGTGATGGAAGAAGGTGACAGGGTGGAGAAGGAGAGGGCACCAAGAGAAGTCTATGCCTATGGTTAAGCTGAGGGTGCACAGCTGTTGAGACACGGGCCAGATTCAGATAAAATACCAAACCACTGCTTGGTGCTACGTGAACAAGCGTCGGAGCTCGCTCACATTAACCCATCCTCCTATCTTTCCCCTGAACAAAGTGCTGAAACATCAACCCCAGATCAAACCATGGCTTGTTGCATCATCTGAACAAGCAAGCCACAGTTTGTGCTAGCCTTGTACACCAGAATCTCAAACATCCTGGTATCTAGGGCTAGCGCAAACGACACCTTCCTGTTTCAGATCTAACAACCAAATATGACTAACTAAATAAAAACTGAATTTTATTTGCAGTATACGATTACACCTTGTTTGGCAGTGCGAGTGTGAGTGAGACAGAAAAGAGACTGAGTGAGCACTGAGCTCTTAAAGATGTATTCCCCAAGGGCACCATACAACACCACCGGTGTGTTTCCTGGTGTTCTCTTGAGGATAAAGGGTCCTGGACAGAACAGGAAAAAAGGAAATTCAGGTCACTGCCTACCAGCCCACTAGTAAAGTCAGTAATGTGCTAAGCACATCTTCAGCAGGTGGGTCACAATTATGTACCCTCTACTTAGCCGTAGACAGACATAGACTCTCTTACACCTCTGGGCTTGGGAACCATTCAGGGTGGCCACAAGGGAAACCCACAAACTGTCTCCCTTCCTTTGGAAACAGAAACCAAACAGTACGTCCCCCAAAGAGCTTTGTACTCTGCGGGTAATAACCTGCTGGTGATCCCCGGCCCAAAAGACGTCCAGCTGTCCTCAACCACAGCCAGGGCTTTCTCAGCCCTGACCCCTGCTTGGTGGAACTCTCTGCCAGATAACATCTGCATTAACAGGATGCAGTTCCACAGGGCTTGCAAGGCAGAGATGTTCCAGCAGGCTTCTGGTTGAGGACAGCGATGGGTACCATCTTGTCGGGCACTCCCCTCACCTCCCCCTTTGCCCCCCCTTTCCCCTTCTTCTTCTTTTCTTTTCCATTAATGAGGTGGTACCATCTATGAAGTGTTTTAATTAATTTTAAATTGTTGGAAGTTGTTTTATTACGATGTGATATCTCTCTCCTTATTATAAAGCGCTGTTCGTGTCCATGTGCCTCCACAGCCTTTGACCCCCCCAACTACCAGTCAGATGTCAGAACCCACAGCCAACAACGAAGTACACACATTCAGGAATGGTAATACTTTTATTGCAGAGCTATAGACGCAGTACCATAAGCACTGTTAAGAATGGCGGCGGCCCCATGGGCATAATAGGATATAGGGTATTCGTATGCACACACACACCCTCATGGCACTGGCCAATTACGCACCCTCCCTCGCACGGGATAATGCTTGGAGACCGTTAGGTAGCTAAAGCTGAGAACCAACACTCTCCCACGGCACCTAGGAGAAACCCAGACAATACAACTCCCTCCTGCACATCTGTATAGATAAGCACTTCGGCGCAAAGCAGAACAAGCACAGAAAGGAATGCATTAGCAATTAACCAGACACATACTGAGCTCCCCAACCCCCATGGCAGCGTAGCTGACACTACCAGTCAGAACGGGGTCCCAGGCCACTGGCTGCATAGTCTTCATCCCACCCCTCCTCCCGCCCACAGCCGCAGTGAGCTGAGAGCCGTAGGATGGGCAGGATGCTCCGCCGGCCACAGCGTTTGCTGTCCGAGCCCCACAGGAGCCAGCACCGGCTTCCTCCCACTGCTGCCCCTACGAGGAGTTCTTCACTCGCCGCTGCTCCATTATGACATGTGGTGCTCACTCGCTCAAACGGCCAGTGGGGAGAGGGACGAGCACAGGTGCCTTGGCCCACTGGGCCCTCGAGTGGCCGGGGGGAGGAACGAGCCCACCCAGCTTGGCCCGCCGCCACCACTTCAAGTGCGTGGCACAGCGGAGGAACGAGGCCAGTCACCTTGGCCCACCACGCCTCGAGCGGCCCGTGGGGAAAGGGACGAGGCCGGCCACCTTGGCCCATCAGGCCCTCGAGTGGGCGGGGAGGACAAATGAGCCCACCCACCTTGACCTGCTGCTGCCTCGAGCGCGCAGCAGGGGTGAGGCGCGACGCCACCCGGCTTGTCCACCAGTGCCTTACGCAGCCCGTGGGGAGAGGGATGAGCCCGGCCGCCTTGGCCCGCTGGGCCCTTGAGCAGCCAGGGGGGAACAAGCCCAGCCAGATTGGCCCACTGCACCTTGGAGTGCACGCCGGGGGAGGGATGAGACTGGCCACCTTGGCCCGCTGGGACCTCAAGTGGACGGGGAGGCGAAGGATGGGCCCCGCCAGCTTCGCCCACCACCGCCTCAAGCATGTGGAGGGGGACCACCAAGGGGGCCCCACCACCGTGCCCCGCCTGCCCCGCCGGTGCCTCAAGTGTGCGACGGGAGGAGGAGCAAGGCCGTCCACCTTGGCCTGCCGGGACCCCGGTCGGGGGGGCCGTTCCACCAGCCTTAGCCCACTGGGGGCTCAGGCGGCTGGGGGGGGGCAGGAAGGAGATGGGGGCCTGCAGCCGGGCAGCCAAGCTAGCGCCCGGGATTAAGCAATTAACAAACCTAAATTATAAATAAATAAATAACATCTCTTCCCCAAAGCAAAAAGACTGTGGAGAACTAAATTGTCCAATAGGCCATTTTTATAAAGGGAACAGGGCTATAGTATAATGTAATGGTTCAGGAGGACACTCTTATAAAGGGAAAAGAACTATAGTCTAGTCCTTGTGTTTATTTTCACATTTGTACTGCAATGTGGCACGCTGTTCTAATTCCACTTTCTGCATTTGTTTACTATATATCCTGTTTTATACTTCTTTGCATTGTCTTTAATTTTTTGCAATCTTAGTCGTATATCACTGTTTACTGATAGTCTCAGTCTATTTAACTGCATTGTTCTACACTGCACAATCCGCCTTACGTCT